TCAATGGAGATATGCGTGACAATTTCATTCTGCCTTTTCATTTATATTCTCCTCATTTATTTCTCAGTCTTGTTGTGTCAAATCTGGTATCTTTTTACCACCTACTGAAGGCTTTGTTCAAGCTAATTTTACCTATCCAAACTTGAATAACCGTAACGTTACTACTAACGGCCGTCATTGAAAACACTAAAGTCGATCTTTGTCTAATTAAACAGAATCGAGAAAGCGTCTTGCAAGCTAGCAAATTACATTTTTGTTATTTCTTTACAAGAATGTTTAAGGTAGCTTAGGTCACTTGAGTTATATGGTGAAAGAAAAAGCGATAAAGCCTTTTGGTGAGTGAGGTTTCTAAATCTACGCCAAAAGAAAATTTCCTGCTTGAACTAGTATCCGATAAGCAACTTCGTTAGGGAGACTGTACCCAATGCATCTAAACCGTCCTAAGCCAGCCTTTTTTGCTGTGACATTTAAGATTTTATAAATTTAAAATTTCAAAGCTTTGTGAATGACAAGGTGACCCGATCAACTCTATACCATGATCCTCCATGCAAAGTAGGCGTTACATTTACAGTTGCAGACTCATGTGCCTATGTGTGGAAGAGGAAAAGGAGGGAGGAATAGAGGAGGAGGTTCAGAGAAGTGAATGATGGGGTGAGTGAATAAACAGATGCGTGAATGGAGGAATGAGTAAACAGTGGATAGATAAATGAAATGATGCTGGGATGGAGGACTGGCAGTGAGGTGGAAGGTGGGCTGATGTCGGAATGGAGAGGTGGAGAAGTTGGTGAGGATAAGTGTGGAGGAGTAGGTAGGAAGCAGGGAGCAGGTAGTAGGGGGAGAGAGTGGAGAGTGTAGTATAAGAGGTAAAGGTTGATAGAAAGAGGTGTAAAGAGGCACTGACGCCGGTGATCGTACCACTTAGAAAGCAGCTGTTCTCGTCCACTCACCAAATCTAAGCTACTTTGGGCCAGCTTAGTACCTGCATGGGTGACCGGCTGGAAACATTCGGTCTTACTGGCCTCCTTTATTCCCCTTTTCCCCCTCTACGCTGTCGCACTTCAAGTCACCTTATTTCGCCACAGCTACTCCACTCCTCTCTACACCACTCACTCAATTATTTGAGGGCCTGGGATCAGACAGACTTTTGGAGGATAGATAATGCATGTAAACTGAGGGTTGCCGGGCTATCAACACTCAGTTTTTATGCTCCTCAATGACGTCGCCTGTACATCTCGCAGTTTTTTAGTTTTACGCCCACTTTCTTGTTGCTAAGAGACTTGGCTAATTATCACAGTCACTCCCACTGTAGCCTGCCAAACATGACACGTGAGCTTGCCACTGTTGGCAAAGTTGAATTTGAACACTTTCCCCCTTGAACTCTTTGACTACATTTTTATAAACAATTCCAATGCTTTAAAAAATGTTGCAAGCAAAGGTGACAACCCTTGGATTGTTTGAAACCCATAGACGTAAGAGAAGTTATTCATAAGTCTTCCATTTTCAGCAAGACGTTATAATACTTTTTACTTACTACATTGCAGTAAAAGGTCCGCAAGATGGCAAAAAATGCCACTCAGTAGACTGTGGCAAGTGTGACGATTAGAGTGTACCCCTTCCAACTAACTCTCCACCACATTCCATCAGGGCGGACTAGAAGATCCCCCGATCACCAGTCGAATGCTCGACCTCTACTTGCTTATATGCATCAGCTAAATCCTTATTTTGATTGTAATAGACCGAAAAGCTGTCAAACTTCCTGCTGAAGTCAGGTTCGCCTATTATGAGTCAGACTGGACATTTCAAGATAGTTAAAGACTTTTGATCAACTTTTTAATAACATCTGTTCACTATTTGCCTCCTTCTTTCACATTTTATGGAGAGAAGATGTGTTTATGGGAAATATCAAAAGTCATTCATAATACAAATTTTCTGAAATCGCAAAATGATTAAATTAAAGGGCGTCACTAGGATAAAGCCTTGCTGTTAAGGTGCATAT